GAATAGAGAATATATATTAGAGCACATAATATAGTGAGAAAACTCATATTGACAATGATTCGGAATATTGATAGCTATCTGGGCAATTCTATTGACGATCCAACTGACGGATAGCATGTCGAACAAGTATTAACCTATAATACTTTAACCTATTAATCTCTATGACAATCTGGTAATGAAAACTAGATATTTCACTAATCCCAATGACTAATGAGGGTTCTATCAAATAAAGATCAGCCAGACCAGACAGTTGGGAGGCAGGACCATTTCAGCGTATAGTCTTTCTGAAATCCAACAACCAAGCCAACGTGACCATTCTAAACACCTCTCCCATAAGTAGATCAATTATTATAATGAATTGGAATCACTGATAAATCTTATTTATAGGTCCATAATAACGACTTATGACTATAAATAAAAGTTACACTGAAAGCAAAAGAGTGTAGCTTAACTTACAGAGATTTTCCTGACAAAAGTCCGGAAATTATGCTCGCAAAACTCCGTCCTGATAGCTACTAGATTTTGGGCTCTCAAGGACCTCATAACTAACCAAAATAGCCTTAATACTAAGGAAATTTCAGTTTCTAAGGAGAGAAACTCGAGAGGGGTGCATTAGAGGGGTGAGGAGGCTGAATGAGCTTTCTGCTGAATTTATAGGGCTAAAAATGGTAATTACACCACACACCGACCATGTGCGCTCCGCGCACTAGCGTGTTTGGTACTCCACCCTCTCAGAATGCGACACATGGCGATCGATGGGTGGTGCAACGTGACAGATGGGGTATGTATGGGTAGAACTTCAAAAAATCATATATTGGCCATATAAGCTCCGTTTTGGGTGTTCTCTATATCCACAAGTAGGTATTTTCAAGTACTATAACTTTCATTTAGACTTCGTCGGCTAATTCTCATCCGATCTTAAATTTAACAGTCTATGAAGATTACATTGTTAACAACCGTGTAAATTTCATAACTTTTACATACGGACTCCGTTTTCAACTGTCTTTATATCGTTGAGTTCATATTTGTGAGATCTTCAACTCTCGTTTAGATTGTTTCAGATAACAATCAACCTATTTGAATTTCGATTTTTGGGCCAGCACGGCTGTGTTGAAACTTCGAAAAATCATATCTTCCTCTCACGAAGTCAGATTTGGACGTTTTTTATATGCACGCTCTCAGTTTAATGACTACTATGACTTTCATTTAGATCACTAATGTTAATAAGCAACCTATCTAAAATTCACTTTTTACGATATGCTAAGTCGTGTCGGCATACTCGTGAAACTTAGAAGAAGCATAACTTCTTCATACGAAGTCGAATTTACGCATTCTATATATCTACGAAAATCGTATCAACGCTTCCTATATGTTTATGATGATTACTTTGGCCAAAAAGTAATATACTTCTATTTCAAATTTATAAACAACGGTTTATATTGAATCCTACTAAACAGGTGAAAATAGGATGTTACAAAGCACAAGAATTCTTATCACTTAATGGAATTAAATAAGAGGAATTAATATATATATATATATATATATATATATATATATATATATATATATATATATATCTCTCTCTCTCTCTATATATATATATATATATATATTAATTGTGGAATATGTTAGGAATAGTAAACTTTGGGTTGTTAAGAGATTTGCCACAATATTTTGTGGGTATTACACCTTTGGTCCCTCCTTGGTCAATGGGTCGTCAACGCTTTTTTGGTTTATTAACAGTGGCAATGTAGCAGGATACATGGAAACATCTGGCCATGAAGAGAGAAAGTAGATGTGGAAGAAGAACATCGACTTTCTCCGACCCGTAGCAAAGCGAGGGCATTCCCTCCAGTTGTTATTAAATTGATAAAACTCTATCATTGTGGGATGTCACATTGACATTCAATAGATTTTGAGTTCAATGGTCATTGAACGCCCAATGGAAAAAAATATACAGTATTATGTTCCATTAAATTTTGTAGAGTTCAATGCATTGTATGAGAACATTGATAGGGTTGTATAAATATGACTATGGAAATTCAATGCATTGTAAATGTCAAATTTGACTATTTTTATGAACCTTTATTTTATGATTATATGCATGATTCTTTTATATAATGAAAATTACTAATGTTATTTTGAACCTAACTAGTTGTTTATATGTTTTCTAAACGAAACATTGATCATACATATACCATTGGTTGTTTTCTTTTTCTTTTTTTTTTTTCTTTTTTTTTTTTGTCTTCTATATTTTTCTCCATCCTGATATATAAAAATTTAGGTTTTGTCAAATACAAAATATTTTAGAATATTCAATATAGAAAGGTTAATTTTAGGATATTCAAATATAGAAAGGTTCAAATATAAATAAAAAAAGGTTAGAAACCATTTAAAAACCAAATTCATTAAACTATGAATATATACCATTAGGCTGAAAATAGATGTGGTAACATAGCCGTAAATAACACCAAATCATTAAAATGTATTCACAATTTAATAATTTGGTTCCTAAATGATTCCTAACATCTTTCAATTAGTATTTGAACATATTTCTATTCAAACATACATGTTTTTGTGACCATGGCAGATTGGCAGTTGACATTCAGCTCACGAAACCCACATGGTCAGCCCCATGGACAAACATCACATATATTATAACCAAAAAAGTTGATTTAAATTGAATATTGACTTGGAAAACATTAGAACTCATTAGTAACCATCATAATCAATCAAACTTCACATGAAGGGGAATTTGATTTGATGAATATGTTGAGCTGCCCTAAAAGACCATATTTAATAATATTGAATTTTGTTTCACATTTTTCTTCACTTTGCCTTCATTAGATAATATTTATGACATTAAATTTCTTTATAAACATGCAAATCATAACTATACCAATTTGGGTGTACCTACTATAATCTAGACTCTATTAATTTCATTGATTTTCATTTCAGTCGACACAAATTGATTAATTTATGAAAAGGTTGTGGGATCTAGATAATTTGGAATTGATAAATCATAATTTGGGCCAAATCAAATTTCAAATTCTATTTTAATTATAAATTTGGTTTATGGTTTGAGTTATGGTTTAACTGAGTTCGGACCAAACCAAACCAAATTACTGAATTTACTTAATTAACTTTTTTTACTTATTAAATACTATATTTATTTATTTTAAAAAATTAAACAAAAAAAATGAAAACATATTTTGATATTTTATATTCGACTTCCCAATTCCAAAATCTCAAAAGCTTTATTCTTTAACCAATTCTTCATGTCTCCTGTTATGCTTTGTTATGCTTTATCTGGAGCTTATATTTGATAATTGAAACTTTAGATTTTTTTAGTTGTAACTTTGGATTTTATTTTTGAAAATTTTTTAATTTTATGGATTTTGTTTTTAACTTATAAAATTAATTTTTTTTTCTTTTTGCTCGAATGGTAAAAGGTATTCAATAACCACCAACCAATAATAACCAGCTTGTTGTTTAACATTGAAATAATTAATTCTAAGCCTGAAAATAATAAAACATTTGACGTACGAATAGGAAGTTAATACAATTATTTGAGTTTTATAAAAATAAAAAATACCCAAATTTTAAGTAGAAATAGGCTCAGTAGCCTCACTCAGCCACGCCTTCACGGATTCATTCACAGATTCATTCAGATAGGTAGACCATGCAACATGTGACCATTTAGACCCGACAAAACTCACATTATGCCCTTATAAAGTCAAAAAAAAATTAAGTTGAGAGATCATTAAACCAAAATTCAAAAAATTCATAAAAACCACAACCTTTTGCATTCTTGATGTAAATAAGCTAAAGGAGAGGCTACACCCATTAATATTTTGCTACGGAATAAACATGTTAGTTTATTCTTCTTATTATTTTCATAATTTCGACCTAATTTTCTTATTCTGTATAAGATTGAAGATGAACATGACTGCTAAAATGAAGTTGAGCAAGTTTGATATTCTTCAGGAACAGGACATTCTTTGGGAATAGTGGCTTTCTCAAGGTGATTTATTTTTATACATCTCATATATGATGTGTTATATATTATCTACAAAGTTAATTTCTCAAATATGTGTGTTTAGTAAACCATAACGTTTATTATTTCTCACTAATCAGTCGATTGATTTCTATGATGCACAGAAACTTCAGTTTGGTCGCCATTCTCGTATCCGATACGCCATGGAAACGGATACGCCATGGAAACGTTTTCGTGACGTATCTAGTAAACAAGAAATGTTTCGTCGTAGTTTCCGCCAAGTTTCAGCCAAGTTTCCATTATATTTAGAGTTTGCATGGGCTTTTTCAGTTCAACAAAGTCTAATGGGCTATAATAATCGACTCTTAACTTATTACCCTACAAGCCTAATCGAGCGACTATCAACTCTCTTTTACCCCTCGTCAGATACGACGATCACGATCACAATGATCACCATTCACCAAACAGAAGATCACCAAACAATTCACCAATTAAGAGATTGAAACTTATCAAGCGAAGAATGGTCTTCTTATAGATTAGATGACACTGAGAAAGCAAACTATGTGAAAGAATATATTTTGAATGATGATTGGTGAGACAAAGTAGCATATATTCTTAGTTTCACTGGACCTATATATGAGATGGTTAGAGCTTGTGACACCGACAAACCATGTTTACACTTGTTGTATGAGATGTGGGATTCTATGATTGAGAAAGTGAAGATTGAGATCTACAAGAAAGAAAAAACGTCTGACATCTTAAATAAGTTGTTTTTATGATGTTGTGCATCGTATTTTAATGGCTTGATGGGCGAAGAATAACACCCCCTACATTGTTTAGCTCACTCTTTACATCCAAGGTATAAGAATTTAAATTATACACTTGATTTCTATTATATATTTATGTTTTAACTTTTGAATGTTGTAGATATTATAGTGATGCATGGTTACAGGAGGATTTTACAAGATGTGTTCCACATAGGGATGGAGAAATTTCACAAGAAATGATGAAATGTTTTCGAAGGTTGTTTCCTAATGATGATGAGTATAGCAAAGTCCTTGATGAGTATGCAATGTTTTCAATGAATAGTGGTCTTTTTGAAGATTTAACAAGCATTTCAAAGATGGCTACTATGGAACCCAAGAATTGGTGGGTTAACTTTGGTGCTCAAACTCCTTTTCTCCAGACTTTGGCTTTTAGATTACTTGGACAACCTAGTTCTTCTTCTTGTGTTGAGCGTAATTGGAGTACTTATGCATTTATTCACTTGCTTAAGAGGAACAAGTTGACTACAAATCGTGCTCAAGACTTGGTTTACATCCACAATAATCTCCGACTTTTGTCAAGGACTCCGAATGATGATGTAAAGATGTGGGATGTGGGTGGAGATGTTTTTGATTCAACGGAAGATGTTGGGTTTTTGGAGGTTGCCGATCTTTCACTAGATAAACCGGATTTTGAAAATGATTTGATTATTGATAATTAATTGCTTTTGAAATATATAGTATTTTTGGAGTTTACACTTTACATATTTTGGAATTTCTTTAATATATGTATATGTTTTTTCATATTTTTATATTGCCGTATCCGTATCTTGAATTTTTGAGTTTTGCCGTTTCTCGTTTCCGTTTTGTATCCGTTTCTCGTTACCGTATCTGTTTCCGTGCAACTTAGATTGATTTACAGTGAAGAACAGGGGATTTATAGAAGAAGCAAACGCTACTCGTGGTACGAAAATGTCTGTTGTGGAGACACATGCAACAACCAAGAGAGTGCATCCGATCGTGAAAGTGGAAATCAATGTCGGTGGGGAAGAGAACAAGAGTTTGATGAATAATTACAGTGATTCTCAACGTCCTTCCAAGAGTCCTACTAGTCATATATGTAGCATCTCTGAAAACAACGTATACATTACTAATTCACCGGTAGTAGCAAGAGAAGCAGTTGCGGAAGTAGCAGCAGCGATTGTTGTTCAAGAAGCATGACATATAGAGAAGATGACGCCGATGATGGATGCTTGGATGAATGGGAAGCTATAGTCGATGCTCTTGCAGTAGCCGATGACATTCTGAATTCACCGGAGCAAAATATTAATGGGTGTAGCTTCCGCTTTAGCTTATTTACACCAAGAATGCAAAATGTTGTGGTTTTGTTGAATTCTTTGAGTTTTGGTTTAAATAATCCCCCAACTTATATTTTTGGTTTTATGGGGCATCAAGAATGCAAAATTATAATTTAATAATTTTGAGTTTTGTTCACAAGTGATTCCTAAAAAATTTGTATTCCTATTTGAACATATATTATTCAAACATGTTTTTATGACCATGGCAGTTGACATTTAGCTCACGAAGTCCACATGGTTAGGGCCCAGGGACATGTTGAACGTGAAGCCACAGCTGGTCAAAAATGGCAGGAACAATGTGAAGTTGTGAAGCCACAATTGTTGAATATGAAGCCACAATTGTTGAATGTGAAGTTTTTTCAAAGGTTGGCTGAAGACCCGGTTGTGTTTTTTGACTACTTCTGATTTCCATCTCTATATAAGAGATTCATCTGTATTTGTAAAACTTGTATCTAGAGTAACACAGAAAGAGTGCAGATTAGCACCAAGAAATATAAATTCCTAGTTACCGGTGGACGTAGGTCAGAGAAGGACCGAACCACGTTAAATCCCTTGTGTTCATCCTTGTGTTCTTGTTTTTCGTGAGCTGTGTGTGTGTTTAGAGTCATGTGTTAAGTGTCTCGATCCTAACAAGTGGTATCAGAGCCTTGGTTTAGCTCCAGAGGGTGATTTTCTGTTTTTTGGTCAAAAAAATTTTCGTCAAAAACGATTTTGGTGTATACCGTTGGAAAGGTCTCGTTCCGAAGATTCCGAAAATATTTTTTTCTGAATTTTTTGACCACCGGAAGACGTCCAAAATCGCCGGTCAAAGGTTTGCCGGAATTGTGACCGGAAAACCAGTTGCCGGAGAAGACGACACTGTAGCGCCTGAACTCGCCGGAGAAGACGACACTGTAGCAGGAACTGTAGCACGACGTCAGCGGTGACGTCAGCAGACACTGTAGCAACACTGTAGCAGATTTGAAAATTTGCAATTTGGCCCCTGAATTTCCAGAAAATTGCAAGATAGGTCATTGTTCTTTCAGAAAATGGCGGAAAGCAGTAAGCTTCAGATTGAGAAGTTTGATGGGAAAGATTTTGGTTGGTGGAAGATGCAAATTGAAGATTTGCTCGTACAGAAAGACTTGGACGCAGTTTTAGGTGAAAAACCGGAGGCGATGACACAGGCAAACTGGGAGACTTTGGATAAGAAGGCCAAGGCATTTATTAGACTGACGTTGTTAAAGGATGTTGCCTTCAATATTTTGAAGGAGACCTCGGCAAAGGGAATCATGGAGGCATTGTCTAATATGTACGAGAAGTCGTCGGCAGCAAATAAAGTCTTCCTGATTCGGGAACTAGTCAACACGAGGATGAGGGAAGGAAGTTCAGTTACAGTACACATCAACAATTTGAACTCGATTTTATCCAGACTTGGGTCAGTGGGAATAAAATTTGAGGACGAAGTTCAAGCTTTACTACTGTTATCATCATTACCTGACAGTTGGTCCGGAACAGTTACAGCCGTTACTAGTTCCGCAGGATCGAAAGAGCTCACTTTTGAGGGAATTCGGGATTTAATTCTAGGCGAAGACATCAGACGAAGAAATTCCGGGGAATCATCAAGTGAACAATTGAATGCGGTCAGAGGTAGAAGAAATAACAGAGGTAGTGGGAGCGGGAACAGGAGAAGGAGTCAGTCGAGGACTCGAAATGATGTGACTTGTTGGAACTGTAAAGAGGTTGGACATTTCAGGAATCAATGTCCAAAAGACAAGAAAGAAGTTAACGTTGCAGTAGACCATTCAGATGATGATGTTTTGATCTGTAGTGTGGAGAGCAATGTGGATTCCTGGGTTATGGATTCGGGTGCTTCATTTCACGCTACCCACATCCGTGAAGCACTGCGGAATCTGAAAGAAGGTGATTTGATTTTGGTAAGGTAAGACTGGCGAACGATGAGATTCTTGATGTGACGAGCATAGGTGACTTAGATCTGAAGACTCCAGTCGGTCCATGGACTTTGAAGGATGTCCGGGTAATTCCAAGTCTGAAGAAACAGTTGATTTCTGTTGGGCAGTTGGATGAACAGGGACACGAGGTTAAGTTCAGGAATGGGCAGTGGAAGGTTGTCAAAGGAAATCTTGTGATAGCTCGTGGACATAAGAGGGGTTCATTATATATGGTCAGTTTACCGTCTGAGGGAGTAACCGTCCCAGTTCAGAAGAAAAACAAAATCCGGTTCATAGAGTCTCGTGGACAGAAGAACGTTTGCTTTGCAGATGGCAAACCCAGAGTCACAGGTCAGATTCAGGTTGAACGTGTTTGGAACGGTTCAGAAAAACCAGTCAATGACATTCATAGCAGTGGGAGCATGGGCTTTGTTTCAGCTAGAATACCCAGAACACAGTGGGTTAAGAGAACCAGTATTCCATCTGTAAAAGTCTCTCCAGATTATCTGCTTCACATGGAGAGTGTCGTTTGTTCTCAGGATGTTCCAGGATCGGGCAGTTCATTTCAGTGGGAGCCGGTGGAGACAGAGTACAGGTCAGTGGCAGACTTAGCCATGACTGATGCGTTGGAGCTAACGAAAGCTTCAACTGGCCTTCAGGTTAATTGAAGAGAAGGCCAGGGTAACTAGGAAGGAGTTAAGATCAAATACAGATGCACAGTTGAAGCACAGGTGAAGATTGTTCCTTGGCTTCAAGTGGGAGATTGTTGAATGTGAAGCCACAGCTGGTCAAAAATGGCAGGAACAATGTGAAGTTGTGAAGCCACAATTGTTGAATGTGAAGCCACAATTGTTGAATGTGAAGTTTTTTCAAAGGTTGGCTGAAGACCCGGTTGTGTTTTTTGACTACTTCTGATTTCCATCTCTATATAAGAGATTCATCTGTATTTGTAAAACTTGTATCTAGAGTAACACAGAAAGAGTGCAGATTAGCACCAAGAAATATAAATTCCTAGTTACCGGTGGACGTAGGTCAGAGAAGGACCGAACCACGTTAAATCCCTCGTGTTCATCCTTGTGTTCTTGTTTTTCGTGAGCTGTGTGTGTGTTTAGAGTCATGTGTTAAGTGTCTCGATCCTAATAGGACAAACATCACATATATCATAACCAAAAAAGCACATGTTAATTGAATATTGACTTGGAAAACAATAGAACTCATTAGTAACCATCATAATCAATTAAACTCAACACCTCAAACTTCATGAAGGAGAATTTAATTTGATGAATATGTTGAGCAGCACTTAAAGACCATATTAATAATATTTAAATTTTTTTCACGTATTTCGTCATTTTGCCCTCATCATTAGATAGTATCTATTAGGTTATATTTCTTTATAAACAGGTAAACCATAACTATATCAATTTCCGTGTATCTACTATAATCTAGACTCTATATTAGTTTCATTGGTTTTTGTTTCGGTTAACATAAATTGATTTTTTTGGAACGGTAAAAATAAATTAGCAAGGAACTAGAAAAAGTTACAAAGTATAAGCAATGGCAGCGTTTTGCAGCCAAACCTCCCAATTCGTTTTGCATTTCTTCCTCCTATTACAAATCTAGAAATACGCTCTACTTATAATGTCATAAAAAATAATAGATTTTTTAGATTTCTCCGTTCCAAAAATTTGGACTTTACGAAATTCCAAAGGACCAAAAAGGTTGTCATAAGTCATAACCACATCATCAAGACATATCCAAATGGGAGTCGAGAAGGGAATGTCATCAGCCCATCTGATAAGAGAATCAACCGAACGAGGATAAGGAACATCAACGGTCCACCATCTAGCATAGATAAGATAACTCCTCACAAACTGTGAAAATGTGTTCCACCGTCTCTGGAGATAGCAAACAAATCGGTTTTGATAATTTGCTAAAGTAGGATCCCTTATTTTGTCGTATGCATAAATTATAAACTAATGATATGTGTTTTGATACTAACATGATCTTTTAAATTAACAACCATGGATTTAGAATTCGTTACTAAAAAAGATAATATCAAAAATAGTAATATATCTTTTGATTAGGAATTTAAGTACATTTATTTAAAGAAAATAAATAGGGTTATTGATATAAAAGTCCTTAAAATTTTCAAGTTTTGTCCTTGTGACGATATTTGGTGCCTTAATGTTTAATATTTGGAAAGATTTGTTCATTTTTGACCTTCTACTGTTGTATCATCCTTGCCTACAGTAGGTCGCTATTACCACAATTTGCTTTGTTGCCACCACCTGAAGCGCAACCGACACCCCCTTGGTCGGTTACCTATCTGCGCAACTGTCCTCCATCGTCGAACCACATTAAATCGCCACAATTTTGGGATTTGCACACACCGTTTGAACCTCCTTCCCTCCGTCATAAAACCCCACCAAACACCATTGTCTTCCGACCACCAGAGGTACCTACGCCACCCTCCTCTCTCCGCCGGAAAAATGAAACCCCCTTATCTCTCCCTTTCGATTTCACCACCACCAGAAGCAACCATGACAACCCTCTCATCTCTCCCTTACGACGAATCACAGCAGAGGTGGTGCCACCATCACCGCCACCATCTGAAAATCAAAACACACAACAAGGGCGGCGGCCAGTGGTGGTGGCAATAGGGGCGGTTAGGGTTTATGACGAAGATGTTGTTGGTGGCGGCAGCTAGAGTGGTCATATGATATTGGTGGTTGGTAAGGTTTAATTGTGAAGGGAAAGGCGGTTCCAGTGGTGAGTGCATATCTAAAAATGGCGGCAGTTTTCGGTTTTCCAATGGACGGAGGAGGGTAGCATAGGTAGCTCGGGCGACGAAGGACAGTGGTATCATCAGTTTCTTAAGAGAGGGAGAAAGGAGAGGGACTAAGGAGGTAGAAGGTAAACCGATTGTGGTGGTGGTGACCTACTTTAGAAGGTAAAAAATAGATGAAGGGCAAATATGAACAAGTCTTCTCAAGTATTAGGCATTAATGCACCAAAAATCGTCACAATGACAAAACCGACAAACCTTGAAAAACTTAAGGACTTTTATGTCAATAACCTTTTATTTCAACTAGAAGTTTTTACATCGAGGTGGAAGGCATGCGTCACTATCCTTTTCTGTATGACAAAAATAATTCTTTTAGAAACTCTAGATCATGCAATTGGACTCTATTGAAGAGTTCTACAACATTTTGTGCAAGAAAACCAAAAGATTCAAAACGTAAATTATATGAACACATGAAGATTTTTCATGCACATTTTCTCGTATTTTGTGACCATGAATGATGCATTTTTAAAACAGTTCGCCCCATAAAGGAACCCTCACTCCACAAATCTACAAGAGGGTTAAACTCATGTAAGATCCACAAATGTGTTTTTTCCTTCAACCCATCTAGAAATTAAAACGTCAATAGGTTTGAGCGTTGATTTTCCTTCCAACAGTCAGTCAAAAAGTTCAAAAGTTCACACACTTCTTTCTTAACCGAAACCCCGACTTGCCTAAACTACGTCAACAAAAATATGTTTTTGTTCTTGTGGATTGAGGTCTTTGGTCATCCCCAACATCAATGTTGCAATAATTTTTAATAAATAATAACTTATAATTGATTGTGTAAAGATTCACGAACCGATTCGATGAAGATGGTCTTGCAAATAGTCTTGTTTGTGGTGCTCAAATTAGAGGTAGACATTATATGGTTTGGAACCGATAAAACTGAAACCAAATTTCAAAGTGGTTTTCGGTTTGGTTTCAAACCAAACCGAACTATGATGGTTTATGGTTTGAGTTATGATCTAGTGGAATTCGAACCAAGCCAACCCGAATTACCGAATTTACTTAATTAATTAAATACTATATTTCTTTATACTTTTAAAATTATATAGAAAAAATGAAAACATATTTTTATATTTCACACATCTACTTCGCAATTCCAAAAACCCATTCTCCATGTCTTTGTTATGCTTCATTTGGAACTTCATATTTGATGATTGAAATTTTAGATTTTTATATTTCAAACTTTGGATTTTATTTTTGGAAAAATTTAATTTTATGGATTTTATTTTTAACCATGATTCAAAAAAAAAAATTCTAATTTTCATGTTAAAAGGTTTTTCTGTTGAAAAGTTTTAGCGGCTAATAACCACCAACCAATAATAACCAGCTTTATGTTTCAACATTAAAAAGACAAAAGAGTTGGTTGTTATTTAAATGAAATAAGTTAATGCGACTACTAAATGAACTGAAACCAAATTAATTCTAAGCCCGAAAATAATAAAACATCTGACATACGTGTTTTATAAAAATAAAAATAAATAAATAGTAAATACCCAAATTTTAAGCAGAAATAGGCTCAGTAGCCTGACTCAGCCACGCCTTCTCGGATTCATTTAGATATGGTGCCAAGATCTCTTTACATTTCGCATGATAACTATTCACCCATTTTATTTCTTCATCCAACAACAGTCTCACATCAATTAACTTCTTCTGATATGGTGCCTGTAAAATTAATAATAATAATAAAATAAAACACAAACAATATAAAAATTCATTCAATAAACTTATTACACTACTTACCCATGTTATATGTTCAAATTCCAAATAACCTTTATTAGCGAAATTGAATTGTGTTGCTGCCTCCTTGATTATAAGCACATTTTCCAATCTTATTCCAAACTTTCCATCTTCATAGTAACCAGGTTCTGAAATAAATAAATTAATTAATTAATTAATACTTTTATAAAAGGAAAAACTACATAAAAGTCCTTGTTATTTGGCTTTATAATCGATTTACTCCTTATATATATTTTTATTCAATTAAGTTTCAAAAACCGGCAATTGTATTCATTTTGACCCTTTTATTTATGTCAACAGGGCATCCAACTTTCAAAATTTACACTTTTGGCCTAGATTTTAAATTTTATTACAAATTTGGTCAAAAATTTACACTTTTGGTCCAGATTTCAAAATTTTGTTATGAATTCATCCTAAATTTAATTTTTTACATCTTTTTTTTGTCAAAATTTTGTTTCGAATATGTTTTTTTGTTATATAAAATCATATTTATACAAAAAAACATATTTTTCACTTAAAAAACCTTCTTTTTTCTATATAATTTAGAAAAAAAAAAACCATTTTTATGTGAAAAACATGTTTTTTTGTATACATATGATTTTATACAACAAAAAACATATTCGAAACAAAATTTTGAAAAAAAAAAGATATAAAACACTAAATTTAGGATGAATTCGTAACAAAATTTTGAAATATAGGCCAAAAGTGTAAAATTTTGACCGAATTTGTAATAAATCTTAAAATCTGTACCAAAAGTGTAATTTTTGAAAATGGGATGACCTGTTGATTGGATAAAATGATCAAAATGAATACAATTACCGATTTTTTGGAGTTAATTGAATAAAAAAACATATAAGGACCTAAATCGATTATCAGGCCAAAATATAAGGACTTTTAATGAGAAGATATATTTATTTATTTTTTTTACTGACCATCTGTTACAGTCATTGAAGCTTGAAGTGGGACACTTAAACCAGGTCTGAAACTGATGGAATGTGGTCCTGTTAACAATAAAAGGTTAAAAAAAATATATAACTTTTTAATTAAAATTTATAATTATAAATAAATAAATAAATATATGGTTTAACTTGCCTTCATGAACATTTAAGTAAGCGCCTATTCCATGACCAGTTCCATGTCTATAATCAAGACCATACGACCATAATGGAACCCGAGCAAGAACATCAAGAGAATGACCTAATTTTATAATTTTATTTTAATTAATAAATATTTAATAACTGATTTATAAAATAAAAATAAAATAAAAAACAGTTTATACTTTATATACGTAATGTTTACTTTACCTGTTGTCCCATTGGGAAAACGGGCATTACCCAAAGCAAAATGACCCTTGAGAACCTGTGTATGTAATATGTATTAAATAAATGGAAATGGATTATCATTTTTTTTTTTTCATATTTAGAAGTAGAAAGACGAATTTGCCCTTAGAATAAAAACTTACTGCGGTGTAACATTTTTTTTCATGTTCAGAAGGCTTCCCGAAATGAACAGTACGAGTTATGTCTGTTGTCCCATCCAAATACTTTGTAGAATAAAAATAAATAAAATAAAATAAGTATTTATTAATTTATAGAATTAAAAAATATAAATAAATAAAGAAAAAAGAAAAAAGAAAAAACCTGTGCTCCAGAATCACAAAGATACATGCAATTTGGATCAAGTTCAGAGCATGTTTTGGGTTTTGGTTCATAGTGAATAATTGACCCATTTGGACCAACTGATGAGATAGTAGGAAAGCTCAACCCTCTGAAATGCTACATTTTATATATAAAATAAAATTTAATTTAATTATTTAATAAATTATATTATAATTATTATATTTTTTTTACCTCTTTTGCTGCACGGAATTCCTCTAGTTTATCACTTACTGAAACTTCTGTTAGTTTTGCATCTTCCCTGAAGAAATAAATCATCAGCAAAATATTTTAATATGTTTTACATTTAAAAGAATAGAAACATACGAGGGCGTTTTGGTCTTTTGGCTTTCTGACTCCTTGAAGTAGCCTGACGCCCCATAGAGTTCCTGCATCTGCACATTTGTGGAAGGGATAATAGAAGTAAGTTTTTAAAACAGATGCTTAAAAAAAATATAAAGAACCCACAGAATTCTGAAAAAGGGCAAAATGGGTATTTTGAAAGCATACCTGTTTATCCAGCCAAGCCAAATATTGCACAACAGCTGCACCATCGCGTATATGTGCGTTTTTTAGCCCCTCCATCTCTACAGGATTCTGAAAAGAATAAGGGCAAAATGGGTATTTTGAAATTGTAGAAGATTATGGAGTAGAAACTAGAAACCAGCATATCATTTTGAAGTGGAAAAGAACAAGGGTCACCATGAATTACATGATCTCTTCAAGTTTTACAAGTCATGCTTATATATGAGTAAAAAAAACTTAAAATAGGGGTAAAATAGTAAAATTAAATTCCAATTTAAATAAATACATTACCTTAAGAGATTTTGGAAGGGATAAAGGTGATTGATGCAGGAAGACCTGATCAGGGTTTAGTTTTGAATACAAAGAATAGCAGCAACGAGGATCAACCCAAATTTTATGGCTACTATCTTCTGCATCATGTGCACCATTAGATTGTGTTCCCTTTGCTGATGTCAGCTGATTAGATGCAAGTAAAGCCACATCAGAGCTCACTGCTGTGTAGTCTTTAACTATGATATTGTTTTCCTCCAAATACGATTTTACCTGAAGAAAAAATATATTTTTTTTCATCTGTATACTAAAACTAAAACCCCCTTTTGTCCCAAAATTACATACCTCAGATGACAACTTTCTTTCATCAACATAAAAGAAAGCAGATGATGTTGTTACAACTGCAAATGAATGAACAACAGGAGAATAGGACACATCACCACCTCTAACATTATACAACCAAACAACCTGTAAACACACAATCATGATGACATTGTTAAAGATATCACAAGTGAATGAGTGATGAGTCAATATTTGATTATTGAACAAGATTATTGTAGAGATGGAGTTTTACTTCATCAAGTGTTGTGATTATTATTCCACGAGTTTTTTCCTTTTTGAGATTATCGCGTAAATCTTTTAACTTGTCTGAAACTGAACGACCAGAAAATTTTAAGGGGTGTACATGAACAGGATTCATTTCAGCTTGTGGTTGATCCTTCCAAACTTCATCAACCAAGTTTTTAGTTGTGGGAACTAGTTTTTGTTGATTCTTTGCAAACAAAGACCTCCATTTCTGTGCAGTTTCTACAGATATGCACCAGAAATCAATACCGATTGCTGAATCTTGAGGTAAATTCTGATACAGAAGATGGAAACGTCATCAGTTATATAACATAGTAATGTGTTAAAACCAAACAGTATAAAATGTCATCAGAAAGAGAGGAGAAGAGGAAGTGTAGACTTACTGTGGATATCCATGAATCTACAGCTGGATCTTCACCCATACGCATGAGCCTCCATTGGTTACTTAGTTGTTGTTCTGCCTGCAGAAAGTATCTTCCATCCGTCCAAAGGAGTGCTTCATTCATTGTTACAAGAGCCAAACCTAAATAAGTTCATAACCAGTAAGCAAATGAATCATCAAAATCGCATCCACATAAAGAAGCACAAGTTCATCTGAGATGTTTGATTAGATTTACCGATATCATTTCATTTGAGTACTTGTTATACGATTCAAAACAGTTTAAACAATTGTTGTTACAGAGTTTCAACGTTGAAATACAACTTGCGTGACATCGAAATCCAAATTGTAGCGAAAACTCAACAAGTTTTCAACGCAGCTAAAATTATACAAATCGAAAACTGTATATGAAAGAAAAACAATAAAATCAATCCATTCAAGGAACAGAACTAACCAGCACTTCCAGTAAATCCAGAAACGAAAGCGCGCCTCTTGTCTCTAGCAGATACATACTCGCTCTGCGACATCGTTAAACAATAAAATATATCCGATCAGAAGAACTAATCCGATCACGAAGACTAAGAGACAAACCAACTATTGATTATGCCTCAATCAATTAGAAAATTCAACTACATATAGTTTGAAATAACAATAAACGGCGAAATACTATTACGATCAAAAAAGTTTAGATCAAACCTGATGATAATCTTCGGATGGGACAACTAGGGCATTGAGCGGTGGAGTATGTGAGGCCATTAACGATCTCAAAGCAGCGAGAATATCCGCCATCGCCGTTCTTCTTTGGAGTTCTCTGTGAGGGTTTACGATTGATCGATTGATTGAGTGATGAAGCAGATACTACGACTTATCTATGTCTGTTGCTTTTCAGTTGGGGGAAGATAGTCCTTTTCGGAGATGATAAGGAATTTTTTTCAATTACTCTTCTCAAAACATTTCCAAAATAATAGTTAGAGTTTAAAATTTTCAAACAAAAACAAGTGTGATATGGAATAAAATAAATTTTAAAAATTATATGATAATCAAATTTTAATATTTTGAGAATTGAACATAAGAAATTATTTATTTTGGCGGAAAGTCTGTATATTATAAAGTTAAAGTTTTATTATCGGTTAAAAATATAAATTTTAGTTCATTCGTGAGTTTTTTTATCGAATTAGTTAGCCATTAGTTGATAAAGTAATAATGTATAGTAAATAACTAACTATAAATATTATAAGTTTGTTGCTTCGGTTTGCAATTTATCACAAATTTTTGTTGTTACTATTCTGACATATATTTAAAAATAGATTTGTTTATCGTTTCAAAAGTTTACACAGTTAAAACTGTTGATATGGAAAATAGGTTGGATGATATGGCTTATATTAATCAACATTTTTGTTGGTGATTTTATATCATCAATGTATATTTAAGTGTAATTGATTGACTTGTTGACAAAATCAATCTTTATGCATATTAAACAAGTAACGAAGGTGCGGAGTGAACACTTGTTTAAGTTTTCTAAGATTCAAAGTAGATTGTTATTTAGGGGCAGCGCCCCTGGAAGTGGGGTCCATGGGGCGGCAGCCTCTGGCGGGGTCCAAGGGGCCAGAGCCCCTGGCTGGGGTCCAAGGGGCAGAGCCCCGGTTTTTTACGTTGTGTTGACCCTTATAGAAAGAACCCGGATTAGTGACAGTTTTCAGACATCAAATTGTTTTAGTGACAGTTTTTCAGACATAAAACTGTCTTGTGGCAGTTTTCTGATGGAAAAGGTATTTAACCAATTTTGGTCTTCATTTTAATGGTACACTCGAAAATCATAACAATCATATTCTCTGTTCTTGCTCTCATATTTTGGGTCTTATCTAATCAAAGATTGGGAGTACCATCCAAATACTTTAATCTGAAAGTGTTCGACAGGATTCTCAAAAATTTTAAACCATTCTATACCCAAACTTCTAACACATTTGGTCAAAAGTAAACCCCTAATGTCTCTCATGCTCTTTTAAATGGCCTTATATTGATCATTTCTTATCGATTTTCAAATCGTTGTTGCATGTTCTTCAACTTCTTCAAGCTTTACGGCATCATGACATAGGAACAAAGATAATTGAGATGTGAAGTGTCGTTATGGTGTTGAAGCTAGTTTTTTGGTTTCATAAACCGACAAAAATCTTGGAAAAAGTTTAAAGGATGCCTCAATTTTAGGTATCGCTTTGCTTGAATAGGGAAGTTTGGGTAGTATTATATTTTTTGCTGGATCTATTATTGTGGTTGTTCTTGTGGATTGATGAACCATTGTCAAATTAATACTACAAAGATTTAATGTTCCATATGCATGTTGACATGTTAAACTCATTGTTGCAAATGCAAATGGCCACCTTCAAATAAAGAAGCTTGAAAAGAGAATTTTCCTCTTGATGATGGTGTGCTTATTGGAGTCATTCTCATGGTTGGGTGTATAATATTGACTAAAGCCCTTTAACTCATTTGAAGAGTTTTATACGCAACAATAACAATAACAACAATACCTAAGTTGCATATGAATGAGGTAAGAGGTGTATAATAGTCAACAATTCTAAGGAAACTGTTTCCGTAGAGGACCTCCGATAAATAAAAAATAAAATATAAATATAAAAAGATTTGAGACAAGAATAAAGAAAAGCTCCCCGTAGAAGACCTCCGATAAATAAAAAATAAAATAAAAATATAAAAAGATTTGAGACAATAATAAAGGAAAGCTCCCACATTGGATTTTCCCTACAAACCAAAATGTCAGGTTAATAAAGAAAACAATGGTGTATTTCCGGGGAAAAAAAGGAATTGATAAGCTAGAAAGTTGAAGATAAAAAATTTGCATGTAAAGAAGGTGAGGTAGAAAACATGAAAGGATATACAACTAATGATATCAAGTACTAACCCAAACAAGGAAAAAAAGCTAGATTTCTAGATACTAGACTACACAAAGACCACTTTGCTACCCTGAACTTATGTCCCCACAGTTTCTTATCTTCTCTGAGGCTCGGAAAGAGATAACTCATTCAAGTCTAAACTCACACTATTTTTCCACGTTCTTCTCGGACGACCTCTCATTCTCGCCCCTCAAATGTGATCGTCTCCGTTCTCATAATAATAGTCGTTGTTGTGTCTCCTATGGACATGTCCAAATCACTTTAAGCTTCAGTCCCTTAATTTGTCCATTAGTGACGCCACCCCCACCGAGCTCCTAAATGATGAGTTTGGTATCTTGTCCAACAAGCCACATGTCCACGGCAATATTCTCATGTCTGTAACCTCCATGTTCTTCTAATGTTTCTTCTTGACCAACCAACATTTGGATCTATACAACAATAACGACCTTATCGGTATTGTATAAGGAATATGAATGAATGAAAAATTAGGAACAAAAAGCATTAAGAAAATAACAATGGTATCATAACTTCGTTTGAAGAAATTTTATTTCTTTAAAGTCTCATATTAAACTTAAAATTTTCGTAAACTACATATTTCTACCAAAATATCAAAATCTTGCAAATTTTAATCCCGCTAATACCAATATAAATAGACTCATAAATATATTGAAATGCATTAACCGATAGCATGACCAAAAGATGGTTCACTTTCATGAGAAGGAATTTCACATGTGAGACAAAGAAGATCACATGGAGAAAAAAACAAAACAAAAAGATAGACAACGACTCCAAAAATAAGATAGAGGATAACCTTGTCTAGTGGAATAATGTGGTTCAATGGCCAAGTATAAATAATAGTGAAAGCTACCTACTTAAAAAAAATGAAAGATACATATACCAACACAACATGACCCAAATTGTATCTTTTTTTTCCCTAAGTGATATATGGATAAAGTGATTATGTGAGGAAAATGTATGTTTGGATAAATTATTGTATATATAAAATCAGTTCAGAATGGAAGATAAATTTTCTAAAAGAAAAAAACAAATTTCACAATATTCAGAGAGGAATTGAGAAGGGAAAAGACAAATAGGTAAATGGATAGTGTCTTAATACATTAAGCCAAAAAAATTGTTTAACCGCTTAAGTCTTTATATCCAAATCATGGGCTTCTTTCTTTTATTTGTTCATTAAGTCGTGTATGAATAAATGGACTAAATAAGTAATGATGTCTATCTGAATAAAATGTTACACAACATATAAGATATGTTTTTTTTTCTAAGCTAAATAAGTTATCTAAGTATATGACTAAATGCTCATTTTATTCTTACATTGCAACAAACAATTTTTATAATATTCATCAACTTTAACATGAGATGTATGAATAAATTGACTAAATAAATGATTATGTCTATCCAAATAAAATGTTACACAACACAAAGTACGTTTTTTTTTTCTAAGCTAAATAAGTTATCTAAGTATGACTAAATGCTCACTTTATCCTTACATTGATGTCTGAATACATTAATCCATGTTTATGGCTTAACTCATTCACATTAAGTAAAAAAAAAAAAAAAAACAACCACATATAGCGATCCAGATTAAGTGCTTAATCAACTAAGCTCATCAAGTAAAAAAAAAACAAACAATCCTTAAGTCAAAAAGAAACAACCATATATAGTTTTTCATTTTAAATGCTTAACTCATTAAACCCAATAAAAACACAAAATTCGATTCAAACAATACACAAAACAACACCACATCCACCACAAACAAACAAAGGGTATATGATTACAAATGTACATATCGTTTCAACATATCCAAAAATCAAATTCAAAGCCACAAATTGTATAAACGTTTCAAATGTGAAGAAGAAAAAGGTCAACAAGGTTGTGCTAGCTTCTTTACAACACCAGCCATGTACTTTCCTTGATGCTCAGCAAGTGCTAATTCTGTTTCAGTAGGCTGACGTGTCCCATCACCAGCAAATACTCCAGCTCCAAAAGGTGAACCCCCTCTAATTGCCTCTATTTTAAACATTCCTGCCCCAAATGTGTACCCTATTGGAACAAAAAGCATCCCATGGTGTGCTAGTTGTGTGATCCCTGTCCATCTACACAATTTTCAATAAGTCAGTGTGCTTTGACTTTGTCAGGCGTGACTCAGTCAGCAAATATAAAACAACTACCTGTCCATATTAAACCATTAAGTAAATAAGAAACAGAAAGTCATTGTCCCCATTAAGTCCATTAAGTCTTAAGTCAAAAAATCAAAAAGACACAATTGACAATAGTCAATTTACCTATGTGCATCAATTAAATACTAAATGTTGAATTAGGGTTTTTCAAAATTGATGTGTTTTCATCTATTAGCAACTAACTGTTAGCTTAAGCATTTTTAAAAGTGAGAAGATCGATAAATAAATAGGGATTAGCATTTGAAGTTTTGAACATGACAATTACATAGATGCAAAGATGAATCCAGCATAAAGAACACTGGACATGAAACTACTATATGTAGTAAGGGTTCTTAATCGATTGGGACAATTGATTTTGATTCAATTGCAAACCCTAATAAAAAACTAGTAGCAGGATCTTGTTGATTGAATAAAGACAAGCATTAATCATGTTTCAATTGATAAATGCACTCAGAAATGGGGGACTTACGCGGTGGTCTCTTGTCCGCCGCCCTGTGTACCAGTACTCACGAAAAATCCGGCTGGTTTTCCGGCGAGCTTCTGTTCTCCCCATAACTGCGACGTGGAATCGAAGAACGCCTGCATTTGCGCCGCCATAGACCCATACCTCGTCGGAAACCCAAACAAAAATCCATCCGCCGATTCCAGCTCATGAACTGATGACATCTCGCCAATCTCATCGTCTTTCGATGGCGCCCGCATTTTCGTCAGTACATCATCCGACAACGTCTCCGGTACACGGAACAAAACCGCTTCCACTCCTTCAACGCCGTCGACTCCCTTCTTCATCCTACGCGCCAGTGTCTCAACATGCCCGTACATCGAGTAGAACACAATCAGTATCTTAAGCTTCACCGCTGTCACTATCGGGACTTCAATGTCTCTTCTTTGAGATTCTGCCACGGTGGTCGGCGAACTGATACTGACCGGAGCATTACCGGTGTCAACCGCGGGTGGGCTTTTCTTACTTGGTACGCAGCCACCGCCTTTACCCATCACAAGTCAAATTCAGTAAAACCTAAAGGTGGAAAAGTAAGGAAATCTGTCTGACAACAATGAGGGAGTGTAAGAGAAAATTGGATTTGTATGATTGAGATTCAAGTAATTGAGGTTTTGGGGTTTATGATTGGATTAGGGGTTTCACTGTTGAAGGCATTGGATCCAATATCGACCATGGATCCGCAGCACGCCTTCCTTATTATGTCTTTCTCACTTGTTGGTAGAAACTAGAAAAGAAAAGACTTTGATGGCCAATCGGCCATCCATTGATCCGCCAATCCCGCCCTTCATACGCTGTCGTTTCATGAATTTTTTTTTTTTTGGAAATCTCTAGAAAAGAAATTACATTTTAATACCCTTATTTTTCCGGTTGCATTTGCTAGTTTGACATTAAATGGCTTATGTGGACTAAGGTAAAACAAACACCTTCATGAAGAAACCTTGACATTTCTTTCTCTTCTTTTTCTCGTTTCACCCACCTCACTAAATTAGGGTTTTTACTCATCTGAAGGAGGAAAATGGAGGATGTGTATGATTTGGATACTATAGATGTGAAGCTTGATGATTATTTTAAGAGGAAACCAATTTCCCGATGCAGAGATGAATTTCTAAACATTCTTTATGAAGAAGACGGTGACGATGACGATGATGCAGATGATGATGCTCAAGCTCAAAATAATGCTCGAACTCAAAACCATAACCAAGAATCGTACTTAGAGTATGTGCAAGGTAGTGATGAAGAAGAGACTAATGATGATTTCGAGTATTACACCCACAACCCAAAGGTGAAATGGAACTTAATGAGACCAGTGCTCGGTGAAAGGTATGAATCCCCACATGAGCTCAAATTGTGTTTAACTAACTATGCTATTAGTAAGGGTTATCAAATTCGTTTCAAAAAGTGTAATAGTGTTAGACTAGTAGCAATATGTGGCAGTACTCTAGATAAGTGCCCATTCGTGGTTAGGGCTTCTTGGATGAGTACTGAAAGGTCTTTCCAAGTAAAAAAAAAAGAATTGTAGACTTGTATACATGTGTTAGGAGTTTTAACAATTCAAAGTTTATGCATCCTACTTGGTTAACAAGACAATTTGTGAAGGAGCTTATTAGGCAACCTAACTTAACATGCAAGGAGATGCAGGTTAAAATACAAAGTAAATTTCATTGCCAAATCACATGGTCAAAGTGTTATAGATCAACGATGAGGGCATTATCATTAATTAATGGGAAATTGAGTGACCATTATGCAAGAGTTTAGGATTATGGGCATGAGTTGACGAGATCCAATCCAAACATTACAATTAGGATTTTATGTTACTATAAACCTTGATAAAACCACAACATTTCACAAAATATACATTTGCTTTAAAGCAATCAAAGAGGTCTGGAAAAGGGGATATCATATGGTAATAGGGTTGGATGGTTGTTTTCTGAAGGGACAAAACAAGGGTGAGTTGTTAACTGCAATAGGTAGGGATGCAAATAATCAGGTGTATCATGTAGCCTGGGCAGTTATTGAAGTAGAGAACAAGAATAACTGGAAATGGTTCCTGAATTGGTTAATGATGACCTTGGATTGTAGGGTGGTAGTGGTCTTTGTGTAATCAGTGATCAACACAAGGTAAAATAACTAGCTTTTTCTATATGATTAATTCCTAATTAACTACAATATTTTGTGTGCTTGCTAATTAACTATTTTCATGTGCTAGGGTCTTCTTGAATATTGTAAAGATATTCTACCATATGTTTGAGCACATGCAATGTGACAGACATATCTATGCCAATTTTAGAAAAGTTTATAATAGTGTGGAGTACAAAAACATGTTTTGGGCAGCAGCAAATCTACAACAGAAATGGATTTCAAGTTCAATATGGAAAGGATCAAGGCAGTGAGTTCTGCTGCATATGATCATCTCATGGATAGGGAACCATCTTCATGGTGCAGGGCTTATTTCTGTATTGGCCTTGTCTTATGAGGTTGTAGAGAATGGGATTGCTAAGTGTTTTAATGCAATCATCATAGATGCAAGAAAGAAAAATTTACTCACCATGTTGGAAGAGATTAGGATTTACATGATGGAAAGGTTTCATAATATGAAACTAGAGGTTGAAAAATGGAGTGGTGAAGTTTGTCCTTCAGCAATCAAGAAGATGGATGAATTTGGTGAATATATTAAGTAAGTATCTTATATGTTGTAATTTCATTCATAAATTGGTTGCTTATGTACTATTTTATGTATTTGCAGGAGTTCGTTTATAGTTCCAAGTGGCTTGAATGCATATGAAGTAAGTAATGGGTTTCAAAGTTATGGGGTTGGCTTGAAGGACCATCTATGTACTTGCAGACTATGGAAACTTTCAGGGTTACCTTGTGTGCATACACAAACAACTATTTTATACACCAATCAAGATCTATTTAACTTCATAAGCAGTTACTTCAGCAAGAGTAATTACAAGGCTACTTACCAAGAGAATATACTCCCAATTAATAGAAGTAATTTATGGGAAGAAACAAGTTACACCAAGCCCATTTCACTCACTGAAAGGAGGATGCCAGGAAGGCATAGTGTGAAGAGAAAGATGCATGTATCTAAAAATGAGGACAAGTACTATCAGGTATTAAGCAAGGGTAGAATAGTCCAGTGTAAAAACTGTATACAAAGGTCACACAATAAAAAATCCTGCAAGAATCCTAAAGTGGTGCATGAACCTCATCCTAAAAAGAAAATGGGGAGGCCTAGGTTGGAACCTGATTTACTGAATTGGTCAGGAACTAGAAGAAGATCTAAAGGTGGTGGTAGGGGTAGTAGAAATGGTGGTGACAGGGGTGGTAGAGGGTGTGGTGGTAGGGGGATGGAGTCACTGATGAAGTCCCTCATGCAAATGTGGAGAGTGAGATACTCCCAAATAAAGTCCTTCATGCAAATATGGATAGTAATATACATCATGCTAATATGGAGGATGAAAATTATGATGCTGATGTGGAGAATGTAGAATCTCATGCTAATGTGGAGAATGCAGAATCTAAGGATGAAAATGAAATACCTAAAATAAAGAGTCAAATCTACAACCCGAGAGCTTCAAAATACAGTATTGAAGAAATCATGGAATGCCTTGGTTTAACTGAAGAGGAGTTAACTGAGTATGAATGGGTGAGAGAATAAGTTGTGGAGATTGACATGTCTCAAGTATGGTTTTCTATCTTATATAGTAATATACTTTTTTATCTTGACATTTAATTTATATATTGTTGTTATTATAGGATGTTGGTGTTGATACTCAAGAAGTTACACTTGATAATGTTGGTGTTGATGCCCAAGCAATCCCTGATGAATCACTACTTGATGATGAAGTCCATGATGAAACAATCCTTGATGATGTAGTCCCTGATGAAGTAGTCCTTCAAGATGCAATCCATGAAGAAGGTGTCCCTGATGCAGCAGGCCTTGAAGCAGCAGTCCTTGAAGAAGCAGTTATTGATGATGGCACAGATGATAAGGTTATACATGGGCCATAGTATGACATATGAGTGAGAAAGAGGAGGCCTTTAGAGAGGATAACAAAACTGCAGTTAAAGAAGTGTGTGGTTACCAAGGATAATATGGGGATGATTGCACACAAGCCAGTCAGTCTAGATTAAGGTGTTGTTAAATCCATTTTTTATAAAAAAAAACATGTACAATCTTTAACCAAGGGTAAATGTTGTTATCCCATTTTGTACAAACTTTGGCTTAGGGCATAACTTTCATACAATTTGGTTAATATTAGTACATGTTGATGGTTAATTATGCTTATATTAGTCATGGAAAATTTCTTCAATGATTTTTCTTATATTGCTTATATTAGTACATGTTAATGGATGATTCCAATGATGGTTGATTCTAGTGTTACATGATTACAACGTTTAATGATTACAGACATGGTTGATTCTCGTGTTTAATGATTCTAGTCATTGTTCATTCCATTCTTTATTGATTCTAATCATTGTTCATTCCATTCTTTATTGATTCCAGTCATTGTTCATTCCAGTATTTATTGATTCCAGTTATTGTTCATTCCATTCTTTATTGATTCCAGTCATTATTCATTCCATTCTTTATTTATTTTAACTTCATTTCATAATAAGATGAGACAATTCAACTTCAAATACATAAAATTCTAACTTCATTTGATAATAAGATGATACATTGCAAATACACCCTGATCACATATGATTCATACATCATACTACCCTTAAAATCCTCCGTCCTAACTAAACAATATTACTACTAACTTGACAAACACAAAAGCAACCACAAAGGCATGTTATCAGTATTTCAACATAACCAAGACAAACACAAAAGAAACCAAAATGACATCAATATCATGGATTTCCATCTTCCACCTTGATTTCCCTATTGAATGATCACTTTTTTTTGTAACAACCTGTTTTGAGTCGTTCCATAGTTCGGGGCCATGACCTGAAGATCAATTATCATAAGGCTTTGGGATTTGGGGAAGAGAGGTTTAGACCTATTTGGATGAGGGTAATGTACATTTTGTGATCCAAGAGTTCGGTTCGTGTTTTGGAGCCCAAGGGTATAATGGTAAATGTGATGGTTTAGGCCTTTCATGAATTAAGGATTTTAGTTCGAGGTGTTTTAAGTCAAAAGTAATTAGATAGGGTTATAGATCTCTTCAACACCTTTCCGTGGATATAAATAATGTCGAAAACGGAGTTGGAACGAAGAAGTTACGACCGTTTGAAGTTAGGACGGTTGTGGGTTAATTCGCGTATGTTGGGCGTACGGGGAGTACGTTGGGAGTACTACGGCTAGGTGGATCACAGGGGATCAACCTGGTACGTTGGGTGTACCAGGAGTACGATGGGCGTACGCGATCAGACCCCAAACCCTAATTTGAGGGTTTTGAGCCTAATTTAAGCTCCTTAACTCCCCCAAACCCTTTACATTCTCAGCCTCCACCCCTTCAACGTGCTCCTTTGAAACCCTAACCCTAGTTTGATCCTTGTGAGCAAAAAGAAGGAATTTTTAAGTGCTTTGGAATGTTCTTGGTGCATCTTGGAGAAAAAGGAGCTCATTGGAGAAGTGTTAGTTGCATTTGAGCTTGTAGATCTAGACCTTGTTCACCTTGATCTTTCTTCTAGAGGTAGAAAGTTTGAATCTTGATGAGACATTTGTTAGATTTAGCTAGTTTTGGGTGTTATGAGCTTTTGGTCACTTTAAGTGTATAAAGTTTAGATCTTGAAAGTTTGTGACCTTGTCATGGATAAAGTTGGAAACTTTATCCATCTAAACATCATATTGATTCAGATATGAAGGTTGTAGACTTGGACTTATTGGATTAAGTTGAAAAAGATGCACTTTTGGTCCCTTGGAGACTTAAAGACTAGATCATGTTTTTTTGGACCATTCCAAAGGATAAAGTTGTAAACTTTATCCCTTATGGAGTTATTACGAACCATAAAAATGTGATCTTGGACCTCCTATCCCTTCCATGAAAGAGTTAAGATGTCTTAATGGATAAATAAGTTAGGGTTTTAGATTTTGGACCTTTTTCTAACCATGGTGTCAGTCCCGATCTATAGATCCAAATCAGTAATCAATGAAATGCAAACAATCAAACAGAGTGTAGAAGGAGTAGAAGAAGAATTAATCCAAGCATGCACACATCTATTACGTATAAATGTCAGGTACACCTTGGGAAACACACACACATATGTCACTTTTTCTGACACACAGACACAACCTATTTATACCACATGAAGTAGCACACAAGTGTGCAGCCGCACACACATGTACGACCACACACAACGTGTGCGGCCGCACACACGTGTATGGCCGCACACAAGTGTGCAGCCGCACACAAGTGTGCAGCCGCACACACGTGTACGGCCACACACAGCGTGTGCGGCCGCACACACGTATACGGCCGCACACACCCACTAACAAACCACAACCACCACAACACACTCTAACATCCTACCAAGACCTATACATTAGAATGCCTAGCCCAAACCACAAAAGTATAGCCTATCAATCTCCCCCTTGGTTTGTGGCTAGCATGAATCAGTCTTTATCAATAATGAGCACATGTTGTAGATGAAGGAGTCTCTGTGGTTTGAGTTGGGTCAGGAAAAAGTACTCCCATCCTTGGATCATTTCTGCGTCTCTTCAAAGGAGGCTGGGAGGTCAGAGTTGTCAGGGAATCACTTGTAATTGGCTCGGATGTAGGAACCACATTATCAAGGGGAGGAGTCCCTGATGATGTGTCCATATGAGTTGAAGAATCAGCCATCTGAACGGTAGACGGAGGCACAGTCTCTTGAGCATCAACTTTCTCCCTTATCTTCGGTGTTTGATTGGCACCATCATCGATATCTTTGAAGAAGTCATCGAGGACTTCGTTGGACAACGGGTTCTCATTCACACCACAATTCACCGCTACATCATCTCTGTCGTAACCGGATCCATTCCCTTAAATACCTGATCCAAACCCGGATCCATAACCCGGTGGGCTGCATCCATTTAAAAAATTATAAAGCCCAAAACCCAAAACAATTTTTTAAAAATAAAACTCTTGGAGGATTAATTTCAAAATAAAACAAAATAAAATAACATAAAATAAAAACATTTTCTAAAAAATTTATCAAACCTAAAAATGAAAGTAAAATAAAATTAAAATAAAACTAAATTTTGAATTTTAACCTAAATTTCACCTCTAACTGAAATTAATAACCTTTTGAGATTGTGGGATCAAAGTTGTTAGACAATCATTTTCCATTTGTCAGTACCTCTCTTTTCATGAATAGATCTGGTCGATCGCCGGTATTGTGATCCACTTAAGCACGAAAAATTGTGACAAATTTTAGGAATGCTATCAGTGACAGAACAGATTGATCCTAAGTTACTAGATAAAAATACATAAGGACCATTTATCTGACGACGACCAAGGATATTGTTGTCCACCTAAGTTGAGCAGCGAGATCTACAGACAATCTAGAATTGTTCAATTTTAGATGTACTAGAACGTGTTTCCCGCTTCCTGATATACCCCAATAATCAAGAACTTCTGAGATACTCCTTACTTTAGGTGAGCAGACAATTATTAGGAGAGAGAATTGATTTAGAGTGCATATGATGTACACCCAGGTCGGATCTCTTCCAATCAAGCAGAGGGTGAAACATATGACTAACTAGAATTTCAGAGGGATTGAGAAGCAGAAGGTTGCAGATGCTGTGTACCAGGTCGGATTATTAATCACGCAAAGGAGACGGCATATGGCTAACAGGTAGAAAGAATAACATAGATAGAAGATGCAGAGAGACAGATTTGCATATGTTGCAGTCCAGGTCGGATCTTTCGATCACACAGAGGAGGCAACTTATGACTAACAGTAGGAAAGAAAGAAAATAATTTTCTACATACCTAATTTATCGGAATTCCCCAGTCGCCCCGTCAATATTGGAATTAAGGACAAAATCCGTACATCAAGGAAAAGTTAAAACACAGTTCTAGATACGGGTTCTTTAATGTGACTGGTGGATTCTCATGTATATCTCCCTGCTCAACCTACTCAAGCGTCGTATTGTCAGGCTAAATGGAACTATCTAGGTCAGAGTTTATCAAGTCTCTAGATTCCTTAAGTTCATCTGCACCTAGTCAAGTCCATTAAATTTTTCGTGCCTACCGGCGCATCGAACACAGAGCCTAGACAATTCAGCTTTGGTACTTTACACAGACTCAGATTGTCTGTTATCACAAGCTGATATCACTTCCCAGCACATCACTTCACAATAATATTTTTGATTTTTCTGTTTTTCTAATGTTTTTGGATTTTCTGATTTTCTATTGTTTTTGGATTTTTAATTTTCTAATTTTTGTTTGATTTTTGATTATTTCTCCCCCTAAATTTGTACATGGGTGAGAATGAAATTAAAATGCGCAAATTTAAACTAACCTAAACAAAAATTAATCCTCAAAGCGAATCATTTTCAAAAAATTTACCAGCACATCGAATCGAGCTTTGTTAAACGACTTGGTGAACAGATCCGCCACATTATTAGTAGTGGGAACCTGTTCTAGCCGAATGAGCGAGCGCTCATAACAATCTCTAATAAAATGAACTTTAGTGTCGATGTGCTTGGTTTTTGAGTGCTGGACCGGATTTTTAGCAATTTGAATCGCAACCTCATTATCACATAATATAGGGGTTTCTTGAAAGTTCAAACCGTAATCCAACAGCTGATGTTGGATCCATATGACTTGAGAACAACAGGCAGACGCAGCTACGTATTCTGCTTCTGCTGTTGAGGTCGAGATAGTATGCTGCTTCTTGCATTGCCAAGACACCAGCCTATCTCCGAGATATTGACATCCGCCTGAAGTCGATTTCCTGTCAAGCTCGCAGCCTCCGTAATTGCTGTCTGCAAAAGCATAAAGATCAAATTCGGAATTTTTCGGATACCAAAGACCCAGTTTTGGGCTGCCTTTGAGGTACCGAAAAATCCTTTTAAC